AGAGCTTCTGGAGCCTTGTGGACAGAAGCACTCTCCTCACTCCATCCAATTCACAGCTTGTGAGGAACCAGCTGGGCCAACACTGCCAAGTCCAGAGGTAAGGGCCTGGTCAGATGCCAGGAGGGAAGGGAACCCCGATGGGGCAACCTGTGACAAAGGGATGGAGAAGAGTTCAAGCCTCGTCTTCTCTGAGCATTCCTGGGGTACATGGATTTCCTGGCATTCATGACCAATAAAACTGGACATAATCTACTGCCCAGCCACCCCATGTCTTCAGGGGCCCAGTGTTCTTGATGTCGTCACTGTCCCCTCACACTTGTGCCTCCTGAAACACCTTCTCTTTCCAGGTATCCTGCGCAGCCCAGCGACCTCCCCTTCTCTGCCCTCTGGACAAGCAGCCTATGCCTGGCTTGGAGCTCTGCCATAAGCCACCAGACTGTACTGAGGCCACCCAGGGCCCTTGGGCAATTGGGGAAGTCTGGAGGCCATGCTTCCAACCTCCCCAGACCCACACACCTTAGCCAAATGCCCATAGAGCCCCAAACATGCCATGCCCACCCAGAAAGGAGGCCTGCTCAAGAGCCCTTCTTCAGTGGAGGAGATAGACCACCTACATAAGTAATCCAGACTCAGGGAGAAATGCTCCAAGACTGGAGAGGTGGAGGAAAAGCCAGTGTGGGCTCAGAGGGAAGAGGCCCACAGCAGGGAGATACAGAGAGAGAGAGGAAAAAGCAACATGGCCAGCAGTCAGGAAACAGGGCAGGACTTCGGACACTTCAGGGACAGATGGACACCAAGACAGAGAGAGGCAAGAATTACCAGTGGAGAATGACAGCTCAGTGTGCGGGATAGGAGGAGCTCAGATACTCTGGGTGGGCTCCCAGCTCCATCACCCACATGGCCCCAGATGCCCCTTCTGTGAAGGGAGCCACATGCACTCACTCTTGAGTGTAGCATAGCTACCCTTCAAGTCGCCATAAGAGAAGAAGCCCAAGTGCCCATCAACCCATGAATGGATCAATAAATTGTGGTATATGTACACCATGGAATATTATGCAGCCTTTAAAAAGATGGAGCCTTTACCTCTTTCATGTTTATAGGGATGGAACTAGAAAATATTCTTCTTAGCAAAATATCTCAAGAATGGAAGAAAAAGTATCCAATGTACTCAGCCCTACTATGAAACCAATTTACATGAAAGCTATAACCCAACTATAGCCCAAGAAGAAGGGGAAAGAGGAGAGGGAGGGGAGAGGGAAAGATGGATGGAGGAAGGGTAATTGGTGGGACCACACCTGCAGTGCATCTCACAAGGGTACATGTTAAATTTAATAAGTGTAGAATATAAATGTCTTAACACAATAACTAAGAAAATGCAGTGAAGGCTATGTTAACCAGTTTGATGAAAATATTTCAAATGGTAAATAAAACCAGCACATTATACCCCATGATTGCATTAATATACACAGCTATGATATAATAATAATAATAAAAAAAAAGTCACCATGAGGAAGACGAGTCTTGGTGTACAGGCCTGGCTCCTACAAGGGTCTAAGGTAGCCACTGTGCCACAAGACCTTGACCACGCAGATGAGCCGGTGTGATTCACAGCCATGCATTTGGGTCCCAGAAGTCACCAGCATCTCACCTTCCTTTGGTAAGCATCTGCTTGTGCGCTGACAGCCCGGGCCCACCCTGCTCCCAGCTGGCCTCCCCACTATCCAGCCTGCACCCCACCCAGTAGGCTCAGCACAGGCCAGGAGGGTCAGACTAGGTGCACACTACCACCACCACCACCACCTTCTTCCTGTGCTGGTCACCAGCCCTCTCTACCAAAGCAAGGTCCAGCCTCCCACAGACCTACTCCAATAGCACCCTCTAGAGGGGGGCTTCAGGGGCAGGCTAGATCCCACCCCCCACCTCAATGGTCCTTCTTTCTAGCCACCCATCCCCCAGGGGCCCAGCCTGCCAGCCGCTAATCCTCTCAGTCATCTGACCCAGGCTCCACCCTAAATTGGCTTTGCCCAGCCACCCTTCTGAGGCCCAAAAATGGACACAGTCATTTATAGAGGGTCCGACAAGCCAAACGCAATGGGAAGATGACCTCATGGCACCCACAGCCCTGAGCTCCAGGCACACACTGTGCACCCCAGGCACTCTGGGGGCAGCAGCTGGGGGTCAGCAGTGGTGGTGCTTCCACGCTGGGGCCTGAAGCCACCAGGCCTTACAAGAAAAAGCTCCACGCAGGCCAGAACCACACGCCCCCTGCTTGAGACAGCACTGGGGGCTCAGGCCAGAATGAGATACCAGGCAAGTGTCCAGGAGGATTTGATGAACAAGGGAAGGCACAGCGGCACACAGTGCCAATCAATTACCCACCGGCCTGTGCCAGGGCTCCCAGGCCAAGCCACCAAATGCCCTTGTTTGCTCATTCACTAAGCCCCTGGGACCAGCTGAATGTCTTTGGTGCACACACAGGTCTGCCCTGCCCTCAGGGAGCATCCAGACCAGTGGCGGACATAGGCAGGTCAACAGGTATCAACAACCCTAGACCTATGGAGAAGCAGAGGCGAGGCGGCTTGGTGACCCCACACACAAAGGACAGGCTGCCCTTGAACTCACTGTTACACCCAGAGTCTAGGTGTTTGGGCTAAGAGAAGATGCAGGAAAACCAGGGAGAGAGAGAGGATGGCAGGCGGGGGCCACCCAATGCTGTCCAGGCCTTCCATCACAGCTCCTGCTGCCCCGGGTCAGGAGAGAGCCACAGGGAAATTGGAATCGCCCCATTATCACTGTTTTAACTGAGGCAAGGGAGGGACAATGGCAGGGATGCCTGCAAGCCACTAGGATTCCAGTCCCCATCACAAGGGGAGTTAGACACAATACTGAGCACCATCAAAAGAAGCTGTGTGGTGGCAGCACCCAGGCTGTGGCACTGACTCTGTGAGGCAGGAAGGCAAACAGAAAAGGCTGGTGTGAGCTGAGGCACAGGGGCTTTCTGGGAGCAGCTAGGGCCTACATCTAGGCCAAGAAGGGAGGGAAGAGTTACTCTCAGCCACCTAGCCAGAAGGCAGGCCTGTCATGCAGCCTTGGCTTCTGCTGGGGGAGGGTCCCTAACTAGTCTCCAGCAGGCAGAGAGCAGCTGCAGCACTAAGCAACTCCAGGCCCATAAAGCCCAGGCTTGGGCAAAGCCGGCCAGCTGTTGGCCAAGAGCAGCATCCATAGCTGACCAGCTGTCAGCCAACTACCCATGGTCACAGAACAGGGGCTGAAAGGGAGGGCTGTGGCTTAGTGGGTCAGTGATACACAGTCCTATGCCTCCTGCCCCTAGAATTACATCAAAGATGCCACTGCTGAGGAACAGGCAGCCAGGGCAAAGGGGATATGCGGAGAGCAATGGGGAGCCAGGAAGGAGTCAGACACCAGTAGGGTGGGGGCAGGGAACTTGTCTCAGCTAACCCTGGGCTTCCCATTCATCTCCCTGGCCCCTTAGGGAGAGGCTTCGGGCACCTAGATGGATTACCCAGTCATGGGGGTGAGAGGAAAGGGGAGGGGTAATAAGGGGATAGATACATCTGTACTGCCCCCCACACACACTATGGGTGATCCAAGTCTTCCCAGCCCCCAACCAGCTATTCCTGGGGCTCTAATCCCTCCTCCTCCTCCCCTTGGGTGGGGGGTGGGGGAGCTGAGTCTGGCCAGATCTGGAGCTTGAGCTTGGCTGAGGGCCCTTCCCTCAAAGCACACCCACCCACCTCCCTAGCCAGGAACCACAAGGATAAGCAGTAGGACTCCGAGGGAGGCCTAAGGGAAGCTCTAGCCGCCCCCCCATCACGTGGCTGCATCCTTAGGGAGCCCGCAGGTCTCAGCTGCAAAAGTCATTGTTTATAACAGCCACAAAGCCCTGCAAGGGGAAGACCAGCCTGTCCCTGGGTCCCCATCCGGCGGCCGCTGGGCGCATTGGAGAGGGGGCAGGCTCTGCCGCACGCTCTGGGGGCCCACCCTGGCAGATTCTGCAATCTCAGATTTCAGAGTCGGAGTCGGCAGGGGAAGTGGCGTCAGCATCTGGCGTGATCCAATTCAATAAACCAGAGGTGGCTTGGGACAGAAAGTGGACAGAATACAGACCCTTGCTCCCCAATCCTGCCTCTCCTGCACTTGCAGGGTGCCCCGGGAAGCCCCAGCTCCATCCCCCACGCCAGCTGGAGTCATTCTCCCGGCGGAGGACTCGGGTTTCCTGTGGCTCCCAACACACCCCTCCTCCAGGCCAGCTCCCTACCCCGGCCACCGGCTCCCAAAGCCAGCGCCGCCACCCCCTTCTCAGATAAGCCCCTGCTGGGGTGAGGGCACCTCCTGCAGGGGTGTTCAGCCTTTCGCCCTGGCGGGGCCTGGCCGGAGCTTCCAGGCCGCAGGCACCTCTTAGGAAAGGAAACCAGATCCCTCCTTCAGTCCGCTGTGAATATGAAGAAGCTGTGGGAAGGAACAGCGGGTGCGCGCGCGGGAAGCCGTCCCGGGAGTCCGGGGATAGAGTGGCCCCTGAGTGGAGAAACAGACTCCCTCGCTCCCTAAGCGCCCGCACCGCCCGGATTGCCTGCATAGGCCTGGAGAGCTGGGGTCGCCACCCGGCCTCTGGCCTCCCAGCCTCCCAGCCTTCGGTCTCCAAAGCTGAGTGAGCCTAGATCGTGTGGCCCAAGAAGAGCCTGGAGCTTGGGCCACCACTTCTCTGCAGACAAGCAACGAAGGTACAAAGAGGACAAACGCAGGGGGCCAGGAGACAGCTGTGCCCTCTCTGGCCCCAGCTGGAGGCGGGGAGACAGAGAACGAAAATCGAAGAGAGCTGCAGGGGATGGGGGTGGGGGGGTAGCGCATCCTGGGGTTCCCCCCAGCCAAGGCCCTCGGAAGCGCTCATAAGAAGGGAATAGTGCCCAACCCCGGGTGAGGAGGAGGAGGAAGGACAGGTGGCCGGAGTGGCGCGGCTGCTGGGGCTCCGACTCGCTCACCTTCTCCTGCGCTCGGGTGAGCTTCTTCTGCACGTTGCTGGCGATCTTCCCCGCCGTCACCCCCTTGCTGCCCATCTCTGCCATCGCGGCGCAGGCCTAGCCGGGCGGCGGGCGCCGATCTCGCGCGGGGAGGCTGTGCGCGCGGCGCTCCCAGCCCCAGCCCCGGCCGCGCGTCCAGCCCGGCTCCTTCTCCACGCCGCGCACTAGACAGCGGAGCCAAGTGATAGAGGCGGAGCGTGCGCCCGGCGAGCGGCCGACCTACGCCGGGACCGAGGGAGGGATCCAATGGAGGGAGGGGTGGGGGGAAGGGAGGGGCGCCGGCCTCGGGCAGTGGTCAGCGCCCCTTGCCCGCCCCCTCCGGACGAGGCACTGCCTTTTAAAGGGCCACTGCGGGAGCCGGAATCTCACGGTCCTTGAGAAGGGAGGGGCACGCGCCGGCCCTTGGGGCTGCGTCGAGAGGGACTCCCCAGGCGTTCGAGCGACACCGCCCAGGGGCGGGACTAATACGACAGTCCTTGGTCCTGCGCCGCCGGGGGCCTGGCTTCTTGGTATTCCCTCGGAGCACGCTCTTATCCTGCAACCCAGGAGAGGAGACCAGGTGGAGGAGAGGGGTACATGCGAAAATCGCAGATTAAAATGTGGTGATGAGTGCGCAGCCCTGTACAGAGGAGCCCCGGCTGCAGACAGAGCGCCCCGGGGCCCCCGTCCGCCCCCGCTCGCCTTCTGCCTGGTGCTCAGGGCGCTCTGAGCAGTCAGCCGTTCGCAGCTCAGCCCGGGTCTCTACCTGGGTTCCCTGGGCGCCTCCGGAACATCTCCTCATGTCTGCCGGCAGAGCATAATCCAGTGCTAACCAGGCGCTTGGTCTCCCAGTTTGTTAATAATTTATTGTAGTAACAGCAACCTAAGCTGTTATTATGTGCGCTCACTGTGTGCTAAGTGACCTGACAGGCTTTATCTCGTTCAGTCTCCACAACAGCCTCGTGAGGTAGGTGCTATTATTATTCCCGTTTTACAAACGAGACAGTGTGGAACTAGATCCCTAACTCTCCATCCCATATTCTCTACCACTGTTCGCTGGGCGGTCTCCTGTTTCTCCCGTGCGGAAAAGACAATGTTTACTGATCATTGTTCCTAGGGAAAATAAGGCTATTTGTTGTTAACTGGCTTTGCCAACCGACCAATGACACCATCATAAGTTAACAAGTAGATATTAAGTCTGCTGATTCCCAGCCCCCACCCAGCCCAAAACATGCCAGGAGCTACAGCGCTTTCCTGTCCTAGAGTCAAGCCCTGGCTCTGGAAGTTTCTCAGGAACTGTGGGCTTAGTTGAACTGAGATGAGTCCTGCTGAAGAGGTCCAGGCATGACCAGTGAGTGGACAGGAGCCAGGGCTGGTACAGTCAGAGCAAAGCCAGCCAGGGACTGGGATCCCAGATTTCCTGAAGGAACAGAAAGGGTCTTCCAGACCACATCCCAATCCTCTCATACAAGTGGAGAAACCGAGGCCCAGGAATGAAAGATTCGGCCTGGTTCACAGGCTGTCTCTCTGCCCTGGAAGGCCCTCGGCACTTTCTTTGGCTGCTCTTGGTTCTTCTTTCACCATTCAGTCCCACCATGATGTTAATCTGTCCTCCCTCCTGGATTATTATTGCAGTTACCCCTTGTTATCAGGGGAAATTGGTTCCAGAACCCATGTGGATATCAAAATCCACAGGTACTCAAGTCCCTTACAGAGAATGCTGTAGTGTTTGCATATGACATACGGATGTCCTCCTTTGTACTTCAAATCATGTCTGTCCACTTACAATACCTAATACAGTGTAAATGTTCTGTTAATAGTTGTTATACTGGCTCGGCGCCTATAGCTC